ACCCAAGTGGTCATCAGTATATGACTAATAAGATCTCTTCCCAGAAACGCCCGGTCCCCGGTCCTGAATCTGACACTGGCATCTACATGTCCCTCTCAACTTCACTTTCCCCATCCATTAGTGGGGACAAAAAGAAACAAAGATCCCAGGCTTCCCGGATCCCAAGAGGAGGAATCACCATTTAAAGTACCTACTGTGTACCAGGCACTGTGCTAGGTGTTTTTCCAACTTTGCCTCATTTAAATCCTGCTGCAGGCCTTTTCACACTTAAACCCAACTGGCTTATCTCCAAAGCCCAGGCTGCTTGCACTAAAAGATGCTGTTCTTCAAAGGAGATGCGATCAATTAAAGCACGCTGAAATATTCTTTTTAATTTATTTCATTTTTTTCACATAAAAAAAATTATTTTTTAAATTTTTTGACCACACCGCATGGCTTGCGGGATCATACTTCCCCAACCAGGGATCAAACCCAGGCCCTCGGCAGTGAAAGCGTTGAGTCCTGACCACTGGACTGCCGGGGAATTCCCAGACACTTTTTTTTAAATTGAAGTATAGTTGGTTTACAATGTTGTGTTAGTTTCAGGTGTACAGCAGAGTGATTCAGTTTTGTATATATATATGTATATATATTCTTTTTCTGATTCTTTTCTATTACAGGTTATTACAAAATATTGAGTATAATTCCATGTGCTATACAGTAGGTCCTTGTTGGTTATCTATTTTATATACAGTAGTGTGTATATGATAATCCCAAACTCCTAATTTATCCACCCCCTTCCCCTTTGATAACCATGTTTGTTTTTTATGTCTGTGGGTCTATTTCTGCTTTGTATGTAAGTTCATTTGTCATTTTTTTTAGGTTTCACATACAAGGGATATCATGACATTTGTCTTTCTCTGTCTGACTTACTTCACTTAGTATGATCATCTCTAGGTCCATCCATGTTGCTGCAAATGGCATTGTTTCTTTTTTATGGCTGAGTAATATTCCATTGTATATATACCACATCTTCTCTATCCTTTCATCTGTCTATGAACATTTAGGTTGCTTCCATGTCTTGGCTATTGTAAACAGTGCTGCAATGAACATTGGGGTGCATGTATCCTTTTGAACAATGTTTTTTTCTGGATTCATACCCAGGAGTGGGATTGCTTGATCATATGTTAATTCTATTTTTAGTTTTTCAAGGAACCTCCACACTGTTCTCCATAGTGACTGTACCAATTTACATTCCCACCAACAGTGCAGGAGGGTTCTCTTTTCTCCACACCCTCTCCAGCATTTATTATTTATAGACTTTTTGATGATGGCCATTCTGAAACTTTTCAAAGAACCGAGAGTATAATACTAAGGATAGTTGACGATGACATCAATGAAGATGAAAACTATTTATTTGTTTGTCTATTTAAAATTAAGGTTTGAAAAAATGAAATGCCAACATCTTAATATATTTTCCATCTCTTTGTGTTCACTCTAAGTTTTAACTTTCCCAAGTAGATAACACAGCCTTGGCATATTTATTGGGAAACATCTCTGACTGTTAGTAAATTTCAATTTCCACTTCAATAAGCCTGGGTGTCTTCAGGACACAGAAAAGACAAGGAGCCAATTATTCTTCCCTTCCCACACATGGGTTCTGGGTCCTCCTACCTTTGTAGACCCTTCAGCACGTTTCTGTTTTGCCAGTCTCCACACTCAGGAAGCAGATAATGGTTCTACCCTTAGCACACACAAACTCTCATTAGGAAGAGAATCGGCTCTCACTTACACAAAATAATCCACAGTTAAATGCTGATAACTTTCCTTGACTATTGGAGACTCTCGATAATAGGTGTTCTTTGCTGGCATGAATGAGTTCCCGAGGCGTTTACACAGCCCCCTCCCTGAACTGAATGATGGCTGCTCCGCTGTGATCGCTCCCCAGTGCCACTCCTCAGTCTGTAATCCAACAGATACGGAACGCAGGCCTACTGTGCGCCCAGACAGACAAGCGCTCTGCCATCAGCAAACCTGTATCCTAAGAGGAGTCACAGACAACAACCAGACCAATGGGAAAGGGCGCTTTCAGATTGTGACAAGTGCGGGGGAAGAAATAAGGGGGGCGACTTGGTCTACAGTCAACAGAGCTGGAATCAGGGGAGCACGTTAGAAACAGGGGCTCGGGGAACTTAGAAAGATTACACTGTTAAATAAGTAATCAGATGGGAAAAAACCCTGGATCGAAAGCCTAGGTTAGAATGTTCTTTATTAATTAAACTTTCTTCAAAATAAGAAACAATCCTGACTTTCTGTAGCTGATGTTTCATAAAACTGAGACTTGTATTTTCTTTGTTACAATTGGTGATTGCATCCCTGATCAAGGAGTTGGCATTGAATTATAAAAGTATAAGCAATAATGTCGATAAAGGAAATATACAGCATCTATCAACCTTAAAAGTAGTAATATAATATTCCCTGTACAATAAACTCCTTACAACTATTTTACATGTTGATAATTTAAGAAAGTCTGGACTACCATGAAGCATGAAATCAACCTGTAACCTACATATATTTTACCTAATTTGAGGTGTAAAAACCTTAGTCCAATTTGGTTTACTATTTTAGTGAACACTTAAAATTCAGAAGGCTTTTACACAGGACTAATCTGAAGGACTCAGCTGTCTTTAAAAAACATGTAAAGTAATTTATATTGATACTTTAAAAAATTTTTCTTTCAGAAAAGGATTCTTAGTGATGAAATTATTCAAAATATCCCATTGACGTACAGCTTCTTAAAGTGTTTTAACAGTGCCTGTTTTTGGAGGTGATGATGATACGTTTGCTTAGACTGAGAATAATTTTGAAAAGTAAAGACGGACACAATAGATCTCTCCTTATTCTCTGTCGTGGGGTGAATCGTGTCCCACAAAAAGATATGGCTAAGCCCCAAGCCCCCACACCTGTGCACGTGACCTCGTCTGAAAATGAAGTCATGTGCCAGGCGGGCAGCACACTGACGCTCACAGCTCTTTCACAATCCAGAGGGCGTTTCAGGACCTGGAAGTGCCTCAGATCCATCTGTCTGAATATTTATTGTCACCCTGTCACAGTGTGCAGCCTGCAGAGGCCGTGTGAGAGGTGTCTGTGGGTCTGATTATGCTGGAGCTCCGTGGGGCTGCCTGATTCACAGAAGGCTCCACAAGTAAGCCGTCGCCTCCTGCTTTTACGCAGCGTAAAATTATTTTCTAAATTAACGCTCCTGAGGAGGACATGTTAAATTCTATCCAGAAGAGAAAGTAAACAAAATTAGGAATGGATAAGACCGTCAGAAGCCACTTATCTTCGCCTTGGTAAAGGGAATATTGAATCAAGAACAAGCTGTATCAGTGTCAGGTGTACAACAAAGTGATTCAGTTATACATATACACGTATCTATTCTTTTTCAAATTCTTTCCTCTATTGGGTTGTTACAGAGTTGTTAATCAACTGCATACCAATATAAAATAAAAAGTTAAAAAAAAAAGTATAAACTTTACAACCACAAAAAAAAAAATAAATAAAATTATTCCATTTTTTTCCATAAAAGAACACGCTGTATCTCCTCGGAGTCAGCTGTGCATAAGCCGTAGCATCCGGCTTCACTTGGGTTGGGCTAGAACCGTCCCTCTCAAATTTCAGCGTTTGTCTGAATCACCAGGGAATTGCCAGGAACCGTTCAAGTCCCAATCCTGAGGTCTGCAGTGGGGCATAGGAGGTTGCATTTCTAACAAGCTCCCAGATTACACAGTGTCCTTAGTTATCTTCGGGTCCCGCTGGAGTAGCAAGGGGCTCGGACGTGCAACCTTCAGAACCCCCGAATCTCCCAGCTGCTATGGCTCCAACCCTTGGTGCCGGAAAGCTCAGGGGAAATTATGCTCACAAATGAGGTGGCCAGGCTGTGCCCTCCACTTGGAGGCATAGTCTCACTGGGGTGTTACAAACAAAGATGTGAAAACCAGAGTTTGAGGCTCAAGACATTTCTCCTCTGAGGTTTTCCTAAAATGGTAGATCTTCAAACAGAGCTCTTAGCCATGGAGTGAGAAACAACACAAAACAGCCTTCCTATTGCAGAATTTAAGCCTCTAACATCAACATCTAAAATTATCTTTTCTGACTCTCTTTATGCATATTTTTTACCAAATTTCATTTAGTACTAATGGGATTTGGACATACCTCACTGCAAAATACAGGTTATTTGTTTCTAAACTATGGTCAAAAGTGACTTTTGCTTCCTGAAGGGAAGATAGTGTAACTTGAAACACCAAATAAAACTGATCTCTTTCAAAGATAATTACAATTGTTTGTGTGCTAACAGCTGTTACAAAACTTTTGAAAAGACTCTATTCCTCCAAGTAGATTCAGGCATTCTAACTACAGTTATAGTCATGTTATTAATTTGCATGGATAATCCATTTTGATTTGAAAGATGTAAAATCCCAAGTGAATTCTAAACTAGTTGAATTTCAAATAAGGGGTTTTCATGAAGTACACATTAAATATTTAAATCAAATAAGAAATAGTTCAGTTTGGGTTTAGTTGGGTGATCATTTTGATTTTTTGATTTGTTTTAATTCAATCATTTTAAAATACAGATTCAGTTTTATTTAAAATAGATTTCCACGTATCTTGCAAGAAGGAATTATGTACTCAAGTTACACATTACTTTGATATTTAAGTTTGTTTCTGTGTTCAGCAAGTGTGATTCATTTCAGCTATTTTTGGTTTGGTTTCATATTATACAGTTTACACAAACATTGCCTTGAAAGGTTCACCTTGCATTTCAGAATATTTTTCAATTCACAATAATTTTAGAACTCATAACGTAACACCTTGGGTGTGCACACTAATACACCCACATGTGGGTGCGCGCGCGCACACACACACGCACGCACACACCAGTCACTGTTGCCACGGTGCTTGGTGTTTCTCTGCCCCCTTCTGGTAGCTCCAGAGATCTCCTTTGTTAATTTTACACTTACCTCCAGTTAAGTGTTTTTTCCTCTCACAGAATTGTAGTTCAAAATACTTTATGAAGCAGCTGGACAGGTCATTAAGAGTGGTCTTGGCATGTCCAAAGGCTTCTAAGATGCTCATGACCTGTAGCAAAAGGGAAACGTTTATTTTTTTTTAAAGGGAAACATTTATTGAGTTACCCATCTGTTTAAATAAAATTGGGTAATAATAGCAGAGAGACAGGAATACTCCCTCAGCTAAGAGGTTCTCCATTGTTCATACAACACCATATTGCAATTTTAAGGTCATTCTTTTCTCAAATGCAAACTGCTAGCATTCTCCCTCTCAAACGGTAGCTAACAGTAACAGGAGAATTATGCACAGAGCACATGACTCCCTTTTTTTCACTAGCCTCTCAGTGTAACACACACACACACACACACACACACACACGCACACAACTCAGCACATGCTATTTGGGCTTTTTAACTTGAATAGAACAGTAGAAGTGCTTCTGTGGCTTTGGAGGGAGGAATTAGAGTTAATATAAGCAATAGTCAGAATTTCCTTTAAAAATAACAAATCCACGTAAACATTTGTTTATAACCTTCTTCTGAACCCGTATTTACTTTGCCACATACTCTTTTGCACCCCGAGTCCCTAGATAACCCTCCCATACCCTGTTTTTGCTCCATAATAAGAATTCTAGATGAAGCCACTGGATCCAGTGTATCTTATCACGAGGTGCTCTTGTAGAGATGGGTGCTTGCAGCTTTAAAATGCTCTTAATACAGCTCCACGGATCAACCCTGGCATCTGAAATTCTTCACGTATTTCCTTAAAGATTGACTATAAGATGAATGTCATTTTTTTCTCACAACCGATTGTGCCTGTGACAATGATGATGGCCAAGCAAGTCTCCAAAATGTATGAAAATCTGGAAGGTTCAAAGGTACTTTTCTGTATCTTTCAAGATACTGACATCTTAAATGTAGTTCCTGCATCAACCACAAGATGGGCACTATGATACCTTCTCGATACACTTGGTGGTGGCTTATAATTTCTGATGATAGTATTTTTCGAGACTTTTATTCTAAATTACAAAAAAAAAAAGTTTGCTGTTGTTTTTTAACTTTCTGGATGCTGCTCTACTAAGGCATTCAAGTCACCTGGAAGTATTTCATATTTTGAAAGATTATAAAACAACACTTCGATTCTAATCACAAGTCACAGAGCTAAACATCGTGGAAACAGCGAAATATATTAAAACGTCTGTTTCTGAAGTTTGAACTTTTGGAGAGAAACCCTGAATCTTTACAGAAATCCTATGATTTAGGTCTCTTTACAATAACCTAATTTTAAAGATCATAATAGTGCATTGATAGTAGTAATGGCAGAAATGTTTCTGAAAAATAATTTGAAACAGTATTTATGAAGGTCCTATGTTTTGCTTCTTTTCCAACAACTTAATATGAAATAAATATATAGCAAAATTAATAGTGTAATTATATCACATTTTAAACCTTTATAATATGACAATAAACAATTGTTTAAAAATTCATAAAAAGGAATAAAATAACATTTTTAAATATTTTGGCTTCTAGTTGGTTGGCGTTGTATCTGATAACACACTAATTTCTTATTATAATAGAAAATGAATATAAAAGATAATGAATGACTGACGCCCAGACAGGAAGTCCAGGATAATGAACGGCACGGTGCATGTGCTCTGCCCCCCCTTTCCCACTCTGCTAATGACAAGTTCTACCACCGTGAGCAAGTTTCATAAATTCCCAAACCTCCTTTCCTTTACTCTAAGCAGAATAACCCCTTCAGTGGTTATCAGAGTCCAGTGTATGAAGCGCTCAGCTTGGCGCCTGGCACATGGTAAGCATTCAACAAATAGCAAAGATTCGTTTTGTTTTTGTTAATAATAGTAGAAAACATTTAGACTTTACTTACTATGTGCCAGGAACTATATATATATAAAGTTATATATAAATTATATCTAACCGTACACACACATTCATATATATGTACGAATGTATATGCGTGTATATGTATAAATAACTTCTTTTAATTCTCACAACTACTGTCTCCATTTTATAGAAAAGGGAATTGATGGATTAAGTAAATTTCCCAAGGTTCAGGGCTTATAAATAGTGGAGCTGGGATTGAAACCCGAGCAATCTCTTGCAGAATCGGTGTGTTTAATCACCATATCTGAATAATGATAAAGACATATAAGGCAGAAAATTAGCATAAACCTAAAACTACTGAACAAATATAAATACATGGCATTCTTTCATGGTGCACTGCTGGTCCACGATTCAAGAGTAAACTGAAATGAGGTGTTCTTTTTTTTGTTTTAATCTTTAATCATCCATTTGCCCAACAGGTGGCGCTAAACAAATTGTTAAGAGAAATACAGAAAAAATGCAAAACCAACACCGTGCTGCTGCTCAACTTTAAACCAGAATCATGAGAATATTGTGCCCTAATAAAACTTTAAATAAAAATATAGGCAAAGGGAAGTAAGTATACATTTCCTCAGTGTTTACTGTTTCAAATTTTATTGGCATGATTTGTTCCTATTTTACATTGGAATTTTTTTCTATAAAATTTTCTTAGTTCTGCCACTAGAAGTTACGCGCACTTATCCTGGTAGGAGTCAGTCAGCTGGATTTTCTCAAAGTAAAAACTCGTAGCCTCCTCCATAAAAAATAAGGGCTTAATCAAGGGGACCCCCATCACTCTGTGAAAGCAGTTACTCTATAAACATTTATTTAATTTAAATGGAACTGAATGTCTTAAAGTTGAAACTCATTTGGGCCAGAATTAGTGAAAAGTCCCAGGCAATTGTGTTTTTTCCCAAAACATGACTTTTATGTTCCAATAAACCTACTGCCATGGAAAGTCCCTGCTTCCACAGTTTGAAATTCAAATAATGCGACTACAAACAACCACCCTCTTAACCGATCTCAGCTGTTTTGAAATTGTCCAGGGAAACAAAAGCAGTATCTACAGTGATAGGATTCAAACCCACCTGCCCATGGGGTAAAGCTCACTCTGAAGCCCATCGCGAAGGCAGAACGTAAACCTACGTAGACTTTCAAGACGGACAACTGAAGTATAAGATTAAAATCCAGAAAAGTTACAGCTGTGTGTCCTTTAAACTATATGTGCATTACCTGCATAAAATTACCAAAAATCATCTCTGGAGCTCACCTTCAGATACCAGTTAAATCTCTTGCTCTCCCTCTCTGCACCCTCTGTGGAGAACACTGCTCACCGTGATAGCACGGAACTTGGAAATGGCCAGCTTCCTCCCAAACCCCTTCCCTTTGTGTTTCCCACCCCCCACCCCAACTCCGGATAATAACCTTTAATTTATAAATCTTTAATTCTGCCATCTATGTAAACCCCAAGGAAAATGTTCTCTACGCCTCAGTTTCTCCACGATTCTGTGCTGAAGACCTACCGATATGTCCTTCCTGTTATGTTGCTACCGTTCTTCTACTGTTTATTCTTTGGAAACTGCTCCTCAGCATGACCTTCAATGACTGTTCTCCTCTCACATTATGCTAAGATGTAGGGCAACATGATTCGGTCCAGACTCAACCAGCATCACCCAGTGGAAGATACCACGTGTCTGTTTGCCGTGCACGTGGCCCCTCGGGGCAGCATCTTGCACGTGTCTGCCCCGTGGTACCTCCAAGGGGCTGTTCCACCATCTAACTCTGCTCACTCACTCCTCTCTTTTCAGGGCCACCTAACGAACCTTCCTCTCATCCTGCCCTGAACATAAAGCCTTCTACTACGTTGCTCTGTGTATCAAGGATATTCTTTTCTACTCACCTCCTAAATACAATTTTTCTTTCATGCAGAAAGTACTGGCCCACCTCTTAAACAGACATAATTTCAGTGAACACCTGTCATGTTATAATGATTTGCAGTCAGTTCATAACTTTTTCCAGTGCGTGTATTTTATTACCACACAGCACACACACTTGGATGCTGGGCAAAGACTGTGGCTGGGTAATTTTCAAGAACGTCTTGTACACTGAATAAATGCATGTGGATGATCATTTAAAGGGAGACTGAAAAAAGCATGATGGACATGAAGTTTAAGCCACACTCAAACCTAAGACTGGAAATCACTTATTTATGACACCCTCAATTTGCCATGAGAAAGGAGTAAAATGAACAAATGAATTAGGAATAGTGTCACTTGAAATTTGCATTGACATTATAATATGGATTCCCAGATGCTAATGGATTTGGAAGAGTTGTCCAAAAAACAACATTCTTATCCAAAAAAATGCAGCTTAGAATGTATTCACTACATAAAGCCAATTTACATAAAGTAACCCAATCTACATAAAGCCAATTTACATAAAGCCAATTTACATAAAGTAATCTAGAATGCATTTTAGAAGTCACACTCTGCTCTTTCTCAAAGCATTGTTTTAATAAATGAGTGCTTTAGTCTATAATTTACATAGAGACTACGGTTTCTTGTCATTACAATTAAGCCAGCAGATCCTGTTATTTTATTAGGTAACCCGAGTCTACTTTATAACCGCATTGCTTTATAGATTCTCTAAGCCTTAAGTGTCGTTAGTAAGCATATTACAATATCTGAACAAAGAGTTTACACTACTTTTCCCAAGTTGACCCAAAATGTTCAATTACTTTGAGCTGTGCTGTAGAATTCTGCACATGCCCAATATATAGCTCGAGTTTAATAGATGGCTATGAATTAAAGTCATTAATGAACACATACAATACCATACATGCATTGTAGAGCTGATTTACCATATATTCTTTGGAAAGAGAAGAACTGAAAAGAGAGTTTCTCCTTCTAATCCGCTGTGGCCTGGAAAACACCTGCTAACAGAACAGTGTGAAAACATCCGTCTACTTGCAGGTGTCTCCTTGAGTCAAATGTCTGAGTTTTATCGTGTGAACTCTGACCTTTCCCTTAGCTGCTAATAGGACTTTGTGGTTCCTCATTCAATCCTGACAGTATTTTAGGTCTAGGAAGTAGCAGGATAAGGTGTCTTCATATAAAAGCAAATGTTACTGCATATAATTTAAAATCAGTCTTAATTTGGGTGAAAGGAGTCAAAAGGTACAAACTTCCCAGTTATAAGATAAATAAGTCCTGGAGATGTAATGCACTGCATGGTGACTACAGTTAATAATAGTGTATTGTATATTTGAAAGTTGTTAAGAGACTAGATCTTAAAAGTTATCATCACAAGAAAAAAAATTTTGTTAACTATGTGTGGTGATGGATATTAACTAAACTTATTGTGGGGTGATCATTCTGCAATATACACAAATATCAAATCATTATGTTGTATACCTAAAACGAATACAATGTTATATGTCAAAATACCAATTTTGGGGTTGAAGGTTTATCACCAGCCTATTAATGTCATCAAAGTTGACTGTTACCAGTTCTTTTACATACATTGAAACTTTATTATCACCTCTCAGTAATCCCCCCACAAAAGTTGCTTATCTGGCCAATCCCACCAAAGTGTCCCTTTCTATGTAAACAACGACAAACTCTAACTGTATTACGTATTTTCAATCCAACTGTTCAGAGCAAATACAAAAAGAGTATGACGTTCAAAATATTTTAAAATATATACAAGAAAATAAACCTTGACGTGAACAATATTCATTTGCACCGGTCTTTTTTTCTTTCTTTCCACAAATTTTGGTCAACTTATGGTTAAACTGATGGCCTATTAAGATGCCCCCCTTTATTTGTAAACTGCATTTTTCTTGCTTCTCCATAGTTTCTAACCCAAGCAAGAGACTTACATGTTTAAATTTGGAATCGAATATAGGCCTGCTGGAACCAGACCTACAGGCGAGGTGTCTCATTATTTGTTTGCTGGCTTCAGACTTCCCAGATCCTCTTTCTCCACTAAAATAAAATAGAAAAAAAAAAAAAAAACCACAAGTTTATGGTTTTGGAGAACATAGTAAAAAAATTAAATAACCAGAGACAATTCTCAGGCACAAAGAAGGTGAGGAAATGACCTAGTGACTTTTAATGCGATGATGGCATCATTTAACACTTCCATGTGATTCACTCCTTTGCTGTACTATATACACAATAAATAAATACGTGTGTGTGTATGTTTGTGTGCCTCTGTGTGTGTACCTGTGTACACACAATATGGTGTTTTCGATGCTGGGACTATAAATGAATAGGATGCCACTTCTGCTCCCCAGTATCTTACAGAGTAGAACCACATGATGCAGGTAAATTATAGCAGAAAGGCCTTAGGCTGGAAAGAAAGACGCTTCCGCCTGTCCCGTGCTTTGTGAGTGCAGGTGAGTGGGGTGGCCGCCAGGTGTCGGTCCCCTACAGTCGAGATGCGTATTTGGTAGGGCCACACGTCTGGCCTGGTTAAATCTTTGAGTCCTCCAGGAAAGACGTTACATCTTCCTTGGAAAAGTCATGCAATCCTTCTCAGCTTTCCTCCTCTTTCCTTCAAAGTGAACATCAAGCATGCAGCTCCTACAACTAAGCCGGTAAAGATGGAGGAGCGACCAGGTAGGTGAGAGCCCGGCGCTCAGCAGATCTGAAAACGGCCTGATGGAGGAGCGACCAGGTAGGTAAGTGCCCGGCGCTCAGCAGATCTGAAAACGGCCTGTTGCGTCTTGAGGCTGCTGTCAGTTTGGACATTTCGTGTTTTCCATTTTCCTTTAATCTAGGAACGGGCACCATCCAAATATGTCCTGCATGAGGACAGTGCTTTTGGTATTTCCCAGGCATACTTCGTAAGTGATATAATTCCTATAAATAATGACTGTATTATATTCCTGAGACTAGGCAATATAGGGTTAACATAAAACTCCAATACAATAATTACTAAACCAACGTAGTCCGATACAAAATAAGGCTTTTACTGCATCTAGATGGAATACTCGTGAAAACGGTGTTTACTCATCGATAGCCAAAAGTGGAAAATACATATAAAGCTCTTTTGCTAGGGCTTTCTCAGGTTTCTCCCTTGAGCACTTGTTCTAATGAATTTGATTAAAGGGTGTTTGCCAGGAAAGAAACTGACACTTAATTCTCTTATTCACGTCTCAACTTGTTAATAAAACGTCTACTCCCCTCATCTGTGACCATAAACATTTTAACCACTTTTAGAGCGACCAGCTTAGCAGCCTCAGGGGAGCAGGTGACAGTGACCTGCGGAAGATACGAAAGAGCTCATTTTCTGGGTTCAAAGACCCTTCCTTTTAACCTTCTAATTGCAGAGCAGAAACAATCTAAATCTTTCATGATGGAAATTTAACGTCTACAATTATATTCCCTGTTAAAAAATTCTATTACCCAGCAACATAACTTGATGTGTCAGGCGTCTCGTTTTTAGAGAGATTTTGCTTGCATTCACTCAGGGATCAATCTTGAAAATACCATTTTCCTTTTCCAAATATTGCCTGCTCCTTCAAATGAGACTTTCTGAGGGCCTACTACGTGCTGGAGTCTGTTAGTCTTCAGGGTAAAAGAGGTGAAAAGATACCGCTTCCTGCACCATGGGCTGGGGATACTCTCGAGGAAGGAGTAGGTACATAATTACGGTATAATTATAACAGGTGGGCACAGCTAGCAACGAGCCCATGGGAGAAGGGGCAGGTACATCGCTTGGAAGAAGCCAGGGGAGACTTCTGCGTGAGGTAGTAATTGAGCTCATTCTTGGAGAAGGGGCAGCGTAGAAGGCAGTGCTTATGCAACATTAAACACTCAACCAACACTCCCTGAGCATCTATTGAGCAAGTCGAAACAGGGGCGGGTCTCGAGTCCCTGCGGATCTGGAGACCCAGAGCCTGGGAGGCTGTGGGGCTGACCCAGTGGTCACGTGGGTCCCTTTTCCTTCTCCCCACCGTTGCCCTCACCCTGTGACCACATGTAGGGAAAATGATCAACTCTCTCGGCTAGCCAGAATCACATGGCTTTTTGCCATCTCATAAAATCCCACAACGAGCACCACATTTCACTTTGAGTAAAATACAAAGAAACCTTAGAAAAAAGAAAAAATGGATATAATAGTCTTGGCCTCATAGCATATCAAGTTGAAACTAAAAATTCTAGTTCAACGTGTTCAAGAAACATTCCTTGATCTGAAAATCCACGTCTATGATTAAACCAGACATTGACCAAAGATTCGGGGCGGCGCTGATGGGTCATGGACCCATACAAAATGTGAAGCTTAAATATGAACAGCCTTGTCTGCTAAATCTGTACATGACAGAAGCAGACCCTATGTTGCTTGTTCCACAAGTTAGCTGCACATTCAGCATAAAACATTAATTTAGGTTTGCTCAGCGTACTGTTAGGAGAATGGATATTTGTCGTACATGCTCAAACAATTAATTAAAACCATCTATCAAGGCCTTCAGAAAATTAAAGCAAAGGTAGAACTGGGTGGGCTCCCAACTCCCAGTTCTAGCCCAGGACAGAGATCTAAAAATTGTTAAAAACTATTCCTTAGGATGAAGCCTAGTGTGTTACGGGAGCCCATAATTATGAAGAAAATGAGAAATAAAATGAAAATTTGAAAATCAAATTAAAAATCCTCTGGCCTGGTACTGTAAATCACCTACTCCAGGAATATTTGAACTTCGATCTCCAAATCTTCAATTATTCTTTGTAAATGCTAATCATGGGACATAATAGACACTCTGTAAATGACCTTTACACAAAGTATTTAGTTGAATTCTAAATTGACTCATTTTAATGTATTAGTATAAAGGCAGAAAGCCTGTCGTAGTCAAGACAATCAAGGAGGTTGAGAAGCTACAGGCAAACACCAATTCCGAAAGAAGACAGACAATAGCTAGTAATAAGTCCTTATGATCATGGACTTGTCCTTCATTTCTTTTTTTTTTTTTTTTGCAGCATGCGGGCCTCTCACTGTCGTGGCCTCTCCCATTGAGGAGCACAGGCTCCGGATGCGCAGGCTCAGCTGCCATGGCTCACGGGCCCAGCCGCTCCGCGGCATGTGGGATCCTCCCAGACCGGGGCATGAACCCGTGTCCCCTGCATCGGCAGGCGGACTCTCAACCACTGCGCCACCAGGGAAGCCCTGCTCTTCATTTCTCGAAACGTGAATGAAGAAATCGTTTTTTCAGAATAAGTGGTTGATAACACGGCATTATTAGCCTTTAAAAATGTCCCAAAGGAATATTAGTTCTGCAGAATATTAACAAATCTTACTATTGTTAGCAAAACAATTCCATGAGCAAGTACATGTAGAAACAAAGACAAACAGGTTTCGTCACTGAAAGAACATGCTAGGCATTGTGAACTCTGTAATCGGTAGGTTCCCAAAGGATAGGGATTCATTGGCCCCTCACAGCTTCGCTAAGGTCCAAAGTCTTTGACAAGGATTAAGTGGACTCAATGAGAATTCAGTTAAGTCCGTGGATTTGTAACCATCATTTTAGGTGAGTCTGGGGGGACCTCTGCAAGCCTCCTTAGGTTAGCGGCACTGGGCGAGCCATGCTCTAGAGTCTGGCTGTGAGTGTGGATAACCTTCACTCGGGCTCAGAAGCCAGACTACTGGGCTCACATCCCAGCTACGCTAACTATTTACTAGCTGGGAGACCCTGGACTAATTAGCTAACCCTTCTAATACTCAGCACCTGATACATAAAATGACAATAATAACAATGATGATACCCATCCTACGAGGTTACTAGAGCAATGAATCAGACGACACATGGAGAGCACCTAGAGCAGACGCTGGCACGCAGCAGGTTCTCAATAAATACGAGTTGTTATTATTGGCAACACTATTACACACGCCCCACCATCTCACGATTTTTAAAAAGTTTCTCTTTTTGTGTAAGTGAGGCCAGGAAACCCAACAGATAAAGCAGATGAAAGCAGAGTTGCTTGATTCAAGAATGCCCGGGTCCCCCACCCCACCCCAGGGGACACTTCAGAACAGGTGTAAAAACAACCATTTGCACACTATTTTGAAAACCAGAACACTAAAGTTTGCAACCCATCGATGTGACCCTCCATGGAATTTTTGATTAAATTCACAACGTAACAGTATATAGAGAAGTGCTTATTTAAATATTTAAATATTATTTGGGTTCTTTCCAGGTTGCCATAGTTACTCAATATTTAAATATTATTTGGGTTCTTTCCAGGTTGCCATAGTTACTCTTGTATCTCACTTGGACTCAGGTTGTGCAAAGCTTTATTCACACATTCAGTTTGCAACCAACACTACTGCTGAAATCTACGCAAAGCCAGGGGCATTTATGAAAGTCTCCCTCGTGTGGCAGCGTGGTCTGATATAAAACACAATTCTCAACGCAGATCTTATTTTAATACCTAAATATTTCTTTATTCCTCTATCAACATATCATCACATTTCATCCCTACTTCTTGTGGGACACTTCTTTTTGACGTGAAGAGTTTTTGCTCCAAGCTAAATGCTCCCTCCTGAGCATCTTGGTATTTATGAACTAATATTACCATTGCATTTCACTAAAAAATTAATGTGAGTGTATAATTTTGTTGACATATGAGCAAAGGTATAAATACCTGGAAGCGGGTGGGAAATCCCACATCTGCAAGGCCTTGCATGGTATTTTGCTCAGCACCACATTGTGGAGAAGGGTGGTACTACTATCGGGTGCCTCTCTTTCCCATGTTTTCTAAGGTTTGAAAGCAAGACACTAGTTCTAAGCTGTAAACCTTCAAAATGAAGAAAAAATTGGATGACTCTCGCAGACATGATGTTGAATGGTTGAGATGAGTTTCAGGTTCAGTTTGTTGATATCGATTCAGCTACACTCAGGGCCATTTCTAACAACAAAGGTGTTTCTCCTTCGTAACGAGTCAAGTGTACTCACTGCACACTTAGTGGACCACGAACTGGTGAGGGAGTAAATAAACGTAAACCAGAAGAAATGAGGACGGTTTTACCGCCAAGCCCTCAGGGCAGAACTGAGCCTGGAGCTGGGGTGAGGGGCAGGCTCACCTGAGAATGAAGCACTGAGGTCTCTGCTCCTGGAAAAGCTGGTGGAAGGCTCTCTCCGCACAGGAGAAAATGTGAGGTGGCAGAGAGGGGCAGGGCTGCCCCGCACTGCCCAGGTACAGCTGGGAGACCTGGAAAACAGGGCAGCACACAGGCAGGAATGTCCGTGAAAAGGGTTCAGGATCCTCTACCTCACGATGCTACTGACATAGTTCCCATACACAGAAGCACATAAATCTCTAATTCTGAGTCTCACTTGTAAACACAAAACATTTGCACAATGCTGCCCTTCTCGGCACATTTTAAGCATCCGTAATGACAAAACGGAGACACACATCTGAGCCTTATTATTCGGCTTGCAGGCTTTAAATCACTTGGCTGTCTTCAAAGAGAGCAACTCCCCAAAATCCAGTTCAGTAGCTCTCCATGAAGTAAGCTGAAACGGCGGCAACTTATAGCAAATGCAATTTCTCTCAGCAACATTTAATTTCAGTAACATAAGACGGCAAAGGATATTTAATTTGAAAAGAAATCAGTTGCATCTGAAACATACAGATTTACAAATTTCTCGGAAAAAAGACAAAATGAACTTGATTTCAGGGCAATGGTGATTTTTAATGATCGCCACGGTGACTCAGTGCTAGTATTTTTAGTCCTTGCGAGTTTCGAGTGAATTGAGTTATATTCGAATCAAAACTAAATGATAGGAGGACTTGTGAGTCATGAAGAAATATCAGACACACTTAATTTTTATTCTGCAAAATAACTGGCTTGTATCTTCAAAGATGTCAAGGTTGGAAAGTTCAAGAGTAGACTGAGGGACTGTTCCAAATGGAAGGAAATTAAATGCCCAGTGGTCAGCGCACCCTGTGATGGTCGACTGGATCTTTGGTTGTTTGGGCATCACTGAGACAATGGAAAAGACTTGAATGAAGCCTCCTGATTAAATGGGAACAGCTCTCATTTCCTGATTTTGATGACTGTATGGAGGTTACATAGGAAAATGCCTTTGTTTGTAGTAAATACACAGTACGTGTACTCAAGGTTGATGGGACAACATGCCAGCCAATTATTTTAAAATGGTTGAAGGAAAAAAGCTGTTTGTACTAATTATTTGCAACTTTTCCATAAGTGTAAAATTATTTCAAATTATAGGGGAAATAATTTTTTAACGTAGAATCAATGATCTACAGCTACAAGAAAAAATTGGGTGACTCTCACAAAAATAATGTTGAATGGAATCTATCAGATACATATGAGAACATACTAGGAGATCGCATTTACAGAGAGCAAGAAAAAAGCAGGTGAAACCAATCTATGTATGCTGTTAGAAGTCAGCGTGGCGGTACTTTGGGCAAAGGGTTAGTGATTGGAAAGAGCAAGTGTGGGCTCTGGAGGCTGGGAATGTTCTACCTCCAGTGCTTGTGGAAAAGTACACTCAGAGATGAGCACCTTCGTGTATGCATTATATCCCAATAAAAACATCAAAAGCCTAAGTCATGAAACATTGTGGTTCTGGTGCAGAGAGAGAAAACGGAACCGCTGGAACAGACTACAGAACTCCACTCAGGCCTACTCGGTGAGATTTGGGGGCCATAGGGGCTGTGTCACTTATCCTTAAAGGAAGCTGTCAAGAAAATTGATTATTTGTAAAGGAAACAAACATCACTATCTCATGCCATCTGTAAAAATAAATTCCAACTGAATTTAAGTTCCAAATATGAACAGCAAAGCTTAACACATTTAGAAAAGTATGTAAAAACAGTACTCTTATGATTTGGGAGTAAGGGAACAGGGGTCAAAAACACAAATTGTATTGGGAAAAATCCTACAACATCATAGCTAACAACTCCTGTTCAACCACAAACAGCACACATATAATAATAAAAAAAACCCAGGCGAAGACAGAGAGGAAAGTAAGCTGGGCATACAATCAATAAATCCTCAGCATTTTATAAATGACTCTCACACATCAGTAAGAAAAACTAGAAACAAAATAGAAAATTGGGCAAAGAGTGTAAGCGGAAAGGAAAGGCCAATACACGTGAGAGAAGATGAAAAAACAGCTCTCTTCGTAACCAAGGAAATGCTATTTCAAACAATAAGGTGATACAGTGCGCGTGAGCTATTGGTAACGTTATCAATAGTAGCTTAGTAACGATGGCGCTGGCCTCACTTGCTCTATGCCTGCTGCTCTTCTCAGCATTTGACACTCACTCATCCAATTCTCCTAGAAACCCGAGACTTGGACGTGAGGATGATTGTCCTGCTTACAGATGAGGAAACTGATGCAAAGAAAAATGAGTGACAGGTCCAAGGTCACGTGGCAAGTCAGTGGTGGAGTTTGACTTCGAAATGAAGTTTTCTCTAGGGCTGAAAAACACATGTATAATACTGAGTGTTGTTCTAAGAAATTCTACATGTAATTTGGTAGAAACTTCTAGACTTAAGGAGGTAGGTTTGACTAGCGATCTCTCTGTAGAAATTCTCAAACATGAACCAGGAACTACACACCAAACAATCCTCAGTACTCTCTGTAAGAGCAGAAAACAAGAAAGTAATTCTACGATAGGGATTAATGAATAAATAATTGTGTATTAAAACAATAAAACACTATAGGGTATTTAGAATGAATTAACGAGACCCGAACCTTTTATCATGGAAAATTTTTTTTTTTTTTTTTTTTGCGATACGCGGGCCTCTCACTGCCTTGGCCTCTCCCGTTGCGGAGCACAGGCTCCGGACGCGCAGGCTCAGCGGCCATGGCTCACGGGCCCAGCCACTCCGTGGCACGTGGGATCTTCCCGGACCGGGGCACGAACCCGCGTCCCCGGCATCGGCAGGCGGACTCTCAACCACTGCGCCACCGGGGAAGCCCCATGGAAAATTTTTGAAAGCATAATGATTAATGACGGTTTTTGTTGTAAAAGAATATAGTTAGTGTATTCTCTGAGTAAATTAAAACAGAAAATAATGGCACATGCAGTTTTTATTACATATATTTGTGCACGTCTACAGAATGAACAGACAGAAGACTGGATAAAAGGATAACTTCGGTGATGTATATGTATAGCCGATTCACTTTGTTATACAGCAGAAACCAACACACCATTGCAAAGCAATTATACTCCAATAAAGATGTTAAAAAAATCTATTAACAGATAATAAAGAACAGTACATAAAAAAAAAAAAGGGTAACTTCGGGTAGTGATTGCCGTCTTTTGTGAAGAGGAACAGGCTGAAGTGGAACTCAGTCTGTGTTGACATTACGCAGTGTCACTTAATCTCAGATACCATGTAATTGAAACAGACCTTTATTTTCAGTACCACCCAGAAAATACCATTACAATTAAACTAGCACATAGTGTCTTGGTATCACGTCTCTAAAGCTGCATCCCAACCTCAGGAGTGCGTGTGAAAACATAAGGCACGTTTCATTTTAAATTTTTAAGCGACAGGACACACGTGTGGGGGGGTGGGCACACACTGCCTATTACGCTTGAACTTTTTGCATTTTGAATTATTCCAGAATTTAAAATAAATATAAAAGATATTTGAATGATAGTGACGTCTACATGATAATTCATAAGCCAGCTAGGAAGGTTTGGCCCACCTTTGTTCTCTTGCAGGATGAATTTCTATTTGGGGTTTGTTTGGGGTTTTTTAAACTTGCACTAACACTCTTTCACTTTCTCCCCAAGTCCAACCTGGATCTAACCTAATTTTGACAAAATGCTTTTAAACTCCATTTGTTTTTGTAAAGTCCTAGTAAGGATTTCGTTAGATGTTATCAACACAGTGAGACCCAAGAGATCCAGGAGCATGCCTGAATCTATGTGTACGTGGGGTTCATCTCACATTCCTGCTGTGTTTCTTCAAACCTATTTGGAGTTCGGTATTCTCCTTAGGCTAAGTTTCACTAACATTAGATGTGGTAAAGAATCGTGAGTGTCCAAAATTTTTTCATGATAATCAAACCAATAACCTTTCTCAGTTCCCTTTTCCTGTAAAGCTTCTTCTTTTCATGCCATGTTAGAGTTTGTATTGTAGAATACTCCATTGCTACCACCTGGTAATACTTTGCTTGATGCTAATTCTACACTTAAGAAGTAATGTAAATATGAAATAATAATTTTAATAGAATAGCATTTTCCACTTATTTATATTGAACCTTGAAGGTTTTCACCAAGCCGTTCTAGTTTTCTGAGTGATGGACAATCCACCGACTTTACATTGGTTACCATGATCGTTACTAATAGTATTGCATGTTCCCATTTGGTCCAGAAAATATTGTCAGGGTCGGACCCTTCCTTTCCCACAGGCCATCTCTCTCCATTTCACCTTATTCTCTCCATGTCTGTATCATTTGGGAACAAGAGGATTTTGGTCCGTGGGCATTGTAAGTGCTCTTTCACAAATGAGATGGCATCACATAAGCTTCATTCGGGTTATTGCTAGTCTTTGCTGGACTCTGTGAGCCCAATAAGTAAGGTCCTTCTTTACGGATCAATTCCCTCCTATTTTCCACTGTGCATGATACCTGTCAATAAACATCCAGGAGATTCGCAGGATCCTGCCACGGTCTGATTTCTGAAGCCAGCCATGCAGCGTGTAGCTTATGAGAGTGCCATTCACGGGCCCCTAACATCAGGGTCCTGGTAGTCTGTGGAACCTGATGCCAAGGGCTCGACGGGGCGTGGCTGCTGTTTTCACACCATAGTGTGAACGTGTCACTCTACCTGCCCGATTGGAATTCCCACTCATTATCTTATACCTATATATAGATGACACGCCCTGGAAAAAAAAAAGTTTGTTGTACACAAACAGTCACATACAATGACTAATGATATGTCTCTGGGCTCAGCACTTGGGTCCCTGAGAGCAGTCTGTCCTGCATCTGCTCTGCGGCTACAAGACCTGGATTTAAATTGTCTCTGCCACTCATGAGAGAACTTTAGAAAGCCTAGTTGATCTCCTGAAGTCTCAGTTGATCCATCTGCAAAGAGGGAACGATAACACTTACACTGATTGGGTCCCTTTGGGGATTAAATGTGGTAGCATACGTAAAGCCCTTTGCGGCAGGCCTGCCGTGTGCTAACCCTACACTAAACCCAGGAGAGCTCTCCTTCCACGGCTGAGAAGCCCAGCCACCCTAGCTACTTGCCAAACCCCAACATGCCGGCCGTGGGGACATCTGGAGACCGGCAGCATCTGAAAGTCAATGGAATGTGAAAGCAGAGGAAGGCCTAGGCCTGGCCTCCCACACTAGGTGTCGTGGTACACTTTGGAGAAGCTGAATCTCATCTGTAATTCGAGGATTCAGGATGACTGATCAGTCTTGTACTGCGTGTAGTCAAAAATATGACCTTGAGAAGTCATCCCCGGGTATTCGTCATCCTTTTGCACACTGAGATCTCAAGGTGATATATCTCTGGTTTGTGAACTCCACAGTAAAGGTTATGGTGAGAGACAATCGAGAAAAGTCTGATACTGAGTGTGAAGAGCCGATGCAGATTCACCGCCCAGGCATTTATTCTCAGACGTGCGCCTGCGCGTTGGTTTTCTGAACGCTGCTTTGCCAATGCCGTAGGCTTGGTCCTTGAATGACGCCATCTTCCCTGTGATTGTTACCTCCCCTCCCCCTTCTCCTCCTTCCCCTCCTTTTCCTGCACCTGCTCCTATGACAGAACTCCCAAAATGATTATGGGTACCTGTAATTCCTTTTGCCCTAGTCGGTCATGCTTCCACACACACTTAGCCCAGGGATGAGGCTGGGGTAAGAATGGGTGGAATGAGAAGGGTGGGCAAGTTCCAAGGCAGTTTTAAAGCAATGGTGGAATTGACTTTTGGTAAGAAGAGTGGAAGGTGGGGTAGTGGGAGGTCCTCTCGTACCCGGGAAGCATCTCTGTAATAATTCTTAGTAGCGTCCTCTGGAGTTTAGAGAGAGTAATCTCTTTCTCTCTTCCTCTCTCTTTCTCTCCCCTACCCCATGCCCCTCCAGCATCTGCGAGTGCGTCCCTGCTTCAAGAACACACGTCTCCTCCTTTTATCCCCTGCTCCTAATTAGGGATTCTGTTTCGGACTGGAAGCAGCCTTGTGGCTGCACAAAACACAGAGAGCTCCCATGACAGTGTGTTTGATCCAAAAATACTAGGCAAAGAGATATGACAATACGCTTCACTACCCACAGTGATGTGGACAACACAGCAGAGATCACGCTGCGTCTTCAGTTGCCTGGGAAGATTTTCCACAAGCAATTTCTTTTTAATTTTGACTCTCATGATTCAAGCTGGAAAGTCTTTTAGAAAAATGTATAAACGCAGTATCATCCTTTCTTATTCCATTGCTTTAACATCATAATGCTCTTCTGAAAGCGGTCATGATGGTCAAAGACCTCTAAACCAACTGACCTTGAATTAATCAAAAATACGTGGGAAACAGAGTTAGTGTAACATTCGATTTTAGACGTCTGTCTAGTGACTACAATCGTAAGAATTTCGCATTATAAGCGCAAAGAAATCTTTTGACAAAATAACATTCCTTGGCAACATTTTCTCAGAAGGAACTGAAGTCACTGTTATCTAACCATCCAGTGTAGGGTTTTCTGAGAAGCTTGGTTTTACTTATTGTTTCGGTTTTTGCTTCTTAATCATTTGATACAAACAGGCATGTCTAGTGAGTGTTACTCTACATTATTAAATGATATTTTAAATTTTATACTCACCATGGTGGAATAAATTGGAATCTCCTTGAATGGATTAACAAGCAGGAGGATGTCCCCAATAAAAGTCTGTTAAAAGGAAAGGATATAAATAGTTATTGGACCATATAAATAGCACCTTCAAAGTTAAAAATTATATAATTTTAAAATCACTGAGCAAAATATAGAGAATAAGTCAAAATCACACTTTACCATTTTGTGAATTGTTTTAACAGTTTGTAAATAAATAGAAAATTCAAATAAAATTAAACCAATAGGCTTGTTCCACTGAACACATAACAAGTGAAATGACTGAATTCTAAGAATTTCTTATCTTAAAGGGGTTTTATAATCACCAGTTGAATAAAAACACACAGAATTAAAACACATGGCCAAATGGAGTGGAGGCGGTGAATGGGGTATGAATTCTATGTTGCTGCATAAGAATAATAATAAAATGTATAACAGAAAAGTTAGTAAAGCACAAAAAGCAAATAAAAATAATTTTAATTAAAAAAAAGACAAGTAATGAGATGGCATAAAGAACAGATGGACCAAATAAAAATCAAATAATAAAATGTTAGATTTAAACCCAAATACATCAGTAATTATGTCAAATGTAAACTACTAACTAATTAAATGACAAAGATTATGAACTGGATTAAAATGCTAACTCAAATATAAAGACTAAGAAAACTTGAATGTTAAAGGATGAAGCAAGATACACATGCAAACAGTAATTACTGCAAGAAACGTGGTTTAGCAATATTCAATTCATAGAAAATAGACTTTAAGGTAGGAAGCAGTACCAGTGATAAAAAGGGACATTTCACAATAATAAAATGATAAATCAGGAAGATATAGCAATTCTAAAATTCTATGAGACTGAAATCTAGCATAAAACTATAAGGAGAGAAACATGAACTCACAGTGATAGTGGAGAACCTTAACAATTTTTTCTTAGTAAGTAATGGAACAAACAGACAAAATTTTGAAATAAATAATTACCAAGTTGACTAACTGACTTATATAGAACACTATTACCAAGAACCGTACAATATACATTCTTTTAAGCTGAACACCGACCAGTTTCATTATATTCAAAGTTTGAGTCACGTAGAGTATGTTCTCTGATCATGGGAGAATTACGATAGAAATTAATAATGGATATCTAGAAAATCACCAAATGTTTGGAACTTATACATCTGCAAATAACCTATGAGCCAGAAAAGGAATCATAATGCAAATGAGAAAATATTTTGATTATGACATAACATGTGAGATGCTACTAAAGGTATACTTGGTATGAAAATTATTGCCTGAAATGTGTATGTTAGAAAAGAAGAAAGGCAGATCATGATCTAAGTATCCATTTCAAGGAGCTCATCAAATTACATCAAATTATGCAGAATTAAATAGCCAATATAAGAGCAGAAATTAAAGGAATAGTAAACAAATGCCAAGGAATAAAAAACAAAAGCCAAAAGGCAATCTTGAAAAATCTGATAAAAATATAGTACCCTAACAAGATTGACTGAGGAAACAAGAGGAAATGCACCAACTACCAATATCCCAAATATGACATCACTACAGATACCACTGACATGAAAACAGATGAAGAGGATATTAGGAATCATATTTTAGTCACTAAGTTTGGATATTTCGATGATGTGGACAGCAATCCACCATCTTACCAAAACAAATGTACCAAGGTATAGGAAATCTAACTAGTATTATTTTTTGTACAAGAAATTGAATCTATGTCTAAAACCTTTCCACAAAGAAAACTAAGAATTCACCAGTGAATTCTTCTCAATGCTGATGTACAGATAAACAAATGTTATACAAATTATTCCAGGGCTTCCCTGGTGGCGCAGTGGTTGAGAGTCCGCCTGTCGATGCAGGGGACACGGGTTCGTGCCCCGGTCCGGGAAGATCCCACGTGCCGCGGAGCAACTAGGCCCGTGAGCCACAACTACCGAGCCTGCGCGTCTGGAGCCTGTGCTCCGCAACGGGAGAGGCCACGATAGTGAGAGGCCCGCGCACCGCGATGAAGAGTGGCCCCCGCTCGCCACAACTAGAGAAAGCCCTCACACAGAAATGAAGACCCAACACAGCAAAAATAATAAATTAATTAACTCCTACCCCCAACATCTTCTTTAAAAAAAAAAAAAATTATTCCAGAAAACAGCAAAGAGGGAACACGATTCACTTCATTTTAAGAGGCCTCAATAAACTGGATATTAAAAGCCTAACTAGTACATTGAAAGAAAAGAAAATTATGGCTGGTCTCTCTCATTAAAAGACATGCTAAAATCTTGAGAAAAATGCTGACAAGTTGAAACCAATAAGACACTCAACAGATAATATATTTCAACCAAATTGCTTTATTCTAGTAACCCAAGGTTGGCTTCATATTAGAAAATTAACCCTTGTAATTCATAATACTAAGGAGTCAAGAACTGAAGTTACAGGATCATCTCAATAAATGACAAAAAAACATTTAATAACATTCAATTCCCACTCTTGATTAAAAATAACTTTGAAAACTATTAATATAACAGAACTTCCTTAATCTATAAAAAGTGATTACACCTACGGCACAGCTACTGCTAACAACTTGCTTAATGATAAAACAGAGATTTTAATGATAAAACACAGATTTTAATAATAAAAAACAGATTTTAATGATAAAACACAGATTTTAATAATAAAACAGCTTTACTCTGGGATCAGAAACAGGACAGGAATGTCAATTATTGTCACTGCCAGTCATCTTTTTATTAACAGCCCTATACCATGAAACAATGCAAGAAAAGAAAGTAAAGAAACTATGAAGATTTAAAAGAGACCCATGAAAGTCGTTATTTGGAGACTACGTAGCAGTGTGTGCAGAAAAGCCAAAGGAATCTCCACGTAAGTTAATACTTACATAGGGATGTAGCAAGTTTGATGAATAAAATGTGCTTACAAAAAATCAAAATCGTATCTCTAGTAGCCATAAACAATTAGAAAACACAATTGCTTGTTATTTTCAATAAGAAAATAACATTTATTATAGCATCCAAACTTGAAAAATGCCTAAAATAGATCTAATGCAAACAGGCCTTCTATACCAATTTTTTTTTAATGTTCCAGAAAAATTAAAGATGACCAAAGGACGGATAGTAACGTTCCATGAAACAAAAAATCCAATATTGGAAAAATCTCAATTATTCTCATCTAATCTGTACATTCAAAGCAATACCAATGAAAATCCAACGGAAATTGATAAGTGGACTTGAAAATATGTACGAATGTCCAAGAGTCATTAGCCAAGACATTTTGAAGAACAAAGTCAGAGGACTTTCTATATATCAAGATTTATTATGTAGCTATAATGATTAAGATATTTTGGCACTGGTTTACAGACAGACTAACAGATCCCTACAACAGAAGACCAATTTCAGAGAGACTCACTCCCCATGGCAAGTTTGTTTATAACAAAGGTCTCACTGCAATGCGTGGGGGGAATCCACATGGGAAAATATTCCTCTTGACCCTCCTCTTTTACCACTGTGAAATCATTTCCACACTGGTAATGCACCTGAAATGTTCAAGTTAAAACAGCCAAACTGCAAGAAGGAAATATAAGAAATGTAAGAAAATATTTTCAGGACCAAGGCCAAAATTCTTTAAGCAGGACACAAAAAGTACTAACCCTAGAGAACTTTGTAAAAACCGCAAATTTCTCTTTATCTAAAGACACTTTAGAAGACTAAAATGCAAGCCACAAACTGGGAGAAAATGTTTGCAATAAATATATATCTATATCTATACATATCAGACAAAGAAAGGATATCCTGAATATTTAAGAAACCCCTACACATCAAGGAGAAAATGTCAAACAACCCATTTATTTTTAAGTGGCAGTATAATTTGGAGACACTTCACAAGATAAGATAATCAAATCAGCAACAGACACCTATTGGTCAACATCATTAGTTATGTGGAACTAATTTTAAAAACCTCAGCTAAAGCTGGACTTGTAACAGGCCTGGAGGGGGTGATTTCACACCCCTACCATGCATCCTTAATTACCCCAAACAGGAAGAGACCTACATCTATCTATAACAGAAAGATGTCTCTATTTCACTGACCAACAGAAAGAAGAAAACATCTTTCAGCCTGAGGACAGCCTAGCCCATCAGAGACTGGAGCAGCCCAACCAATGAGAAGCCTCCATGCTCTGGACTCCATGCTTCCTCCAATGGCTCCCATCAGAGACTGGAGCAGCCCAACCAATGAGAAGCCTCCATGCTCTGGACTCCATGCTTCCTCCAATGGATCATTTAGTTATTACAGCCCCTCCCAAACCCTCTCTTTTCCCTATAAAAGCAAGCTCCCCTTCCTTGTTTTCGGGATTTGCCTGTGGTCTGCCATAGTTTGCACAACCCGAATTTCAATTCCTCTGCTCTTCCTGAATAAACTTGCTTTTGCTGGTAAAATAACTGGCTATTATATTATTAAAGTTGACAGTTATCAGGGAAATGTAAGTTAAAACCAAAATGAAGTACCACTGCACAACTGCCAGAATGGCTAGATTTTTTTTTTTTTAATTAATAACACAAATAATACTGATAACATCCAGTGTTGGTCATGATGTGGAAACTTAGATGTCCGTATTGGGCATGTAGCCACTTTGAGATACTATTTGGCTGTATCTCCTGAAGCTGAACACACCTGATGATGCTGGCACTGTAGTCCTAGGTGAGCGCCTCACAAAAGACGTGAGGCTGTGTGTTACTCCAAGAGCTACTTAATATGTGTGCCCCCCAAAAGGCATAGCGTGGTTTATAACAGTATTATTCATAGTAACCAAAAAGTGGAAACAACTCAAAGATTCCTCGATTGTAGAGTAAATAAATAAAAGAGGATATATTCATACAGTAGCTTATTGTACAGTAGCTTACTTACAGGGATAAAAACAAATAATTGCTGCTACAGGCAACACTATAGATGAGTATCAGAAACATAATGATGATGAAAGATGACAGACAAAAACAAGAATATACCGGATGATTCCTTTTATACAAAATTAAAAGAAATTCAAAACTAATCCATAAGGGTATATGCCAGAAACTTTTGTAATGATTACATTAAACTGGGGAAGGAGCTTCTTACACTCCTTTTCTTTATGAAGCTGCTGGTTACACAGGTGTGTTCACCAAATAAAAACTCATGAAGCAATACTTTCATGAGCTGTGCATTATTCTCTTTATATGTCATAATGCATGACAGCATTCACTTAAAAGAAGGATTGGCCAGTATTTTATAGCCAAGTAAAGGAGGAAGGAAATAAAAGTGAAATAATTGAACCAAAGGGGAACCTTATTAGTGAAGTATCTGAAAATTAGTCTTAAATTCCAGAGAAGAAAAATGAAGATAGAAAGTAGATTGAGGAAGAATTGAGAAATCTGTTAATTAAGAAAGATGAGGAACATTAAAATAAAATAAAAATACCCTAAAATGCATTTTTATGGAGATATAATTTTGGGGGGGCCTAAATATTGAAGGAATCCGGGACTATCTGATAATATATTTTGTGATAAAAATAGTTTATAAAACTATTACTTGAATGTTAACAATGTTATTTATTCTGGGCACTTCCTGGTGAGTGAGTATCACATTACCTGCAATTCACTTTCTGTTTGATGGTTCGGGAACTTCCTACTCCTACAGACAGGAGGGAAACTTCCCAATCTGATATCCAAATGGGATGCGATACACTCAGTTAAAAGAGCAACTTGCAGATTGTTCCGAAAGATCATCTTATATAACAAATCAGACTACAGGACTATAGCAAAAAGAGATGAAAACCCTGGTTGAACAGTTAATTCAGCTGCAGTGTTTTCTCTTGGGCGCTGATGGGCCCAGATAGCAGCAGCAGAGGTGGTATGCTGTCTGCATTTTGAAGGCAGGGCTGATGAGACTGGCAGGAAAATCGCATGTGGGGTATGTAAGAAAAAGAAGCACCAATACTCTTCCAGTCATTTTGGCCTGAAAACTGAAAGAAAGAGGTTGTCATTAACGGAGATGGGAGGGGCATGGGAGGGGCATGTTGGGAACGGACAACCAAATTTGAATATTTTAATGTTGAAACATCTACTAAACTAGTGCTTTCGTATTTGTGGGGAGGGAACACTTTTATTTCCAATTCACTGTGGACTAATACTTCCGCAAAACATAATAAAAAACTCCTGGAAAAATGAAATTGAAAAAGACAAAGACATACAAAAAGCAAGGCTTGATTCTTATGAGATTCAATAGACAGAAATTAAACCATTAAAGTGCTATAAGAGTTTCTAAAAGCTTACTCTGAGGGCAGACTGGTAATAAAAAGTTCACATATCCAGTGGTCCAGAGACTACACCGCGAGAATCACCTATTACTATTCAATCAATAACGTTTAAATTGCTTGTCTATCCATTAAAGGCAAATTCAAATACCATAACTTGGAGCACTCATTACAAAATTGATCCTAGGTAGTGCAGCTCTTCAATATTTCAGGTCTACAGAAGAGAAAATCATGCCTCACACAGTGAAAAGTTTATATCCTCAAAAAGAAAACCACAGGCCCAAAATAGAGTCCCGTACGCTAGGCCAGGCTAACCGACAGGGGCGTAATACCTAACCTAACTGAAGCTTCCACCTCCCCCAGAAATGTGGTCTTGACCAGACAGTCAGGAATTTTCCGTTTGGTACCAGTAAGGTAATATGTCACATGCCCCTCTCCATTCCCCAAAAGATGATGAGGTAATCGCTACATAGACCCCTCTGTTCCCCACAGGTAGTTACCTAAGCCTGAAGCAATATTTTTTATGACTTCCTTATCTTGCCTTTAAAACCCTTCCCTTTCTGTGGCCCCCTGGAGCTCCCCTCTGCTAGCTAGATGGGGTGTTGCCCAATTCATGAATCATTCAATAAAGCCAATTAGATCACTAAAATTTACTCAGTTGAATTTTGTTTTTTAATAGTATTTTATATGAACTTTAGCAAAGCAGGGAGCCCTAATTCTGATTATCCAGGTAGAGAGAGAAACCCAGTAGAGTTAGCAAAGAGAGTCTACGAAGGTGGTCCACTGTGTGGGGTCTGCGACATGACTCCGAGAAACAGGTGGGAAGTAGTTGTCATTTCAGATGAGGAAGTGCAAGACCAGCAGGGGTCCTGTTCCCCCTGAGCTCAGAGTCTAGCATGGCAGCAAGATGCTAATCAAACCACCACCGAGGTTTATAATCACAGGCGGTGAGAAGTGTGCTACAGAAAGATGGTCCACAGTGACTTAATCTGGAAGTTCTGGGAAGGATTACTTAAAGACTGAAGAAGTATTGAGTGGGAGTTTATAAAACTATGTACTATGTGGAGGAAGAAAGAGAACTTTATGGAAAAAAAGACAGTCTAAGGGGACTCCCTGATGCAGGAAGGCGGGCAGCGACCAGTGACTAGGAATCATCAATGATAGTGTTTAGGGACCAGATCGTGAATAAGGCTTGTGGCTGTCCTTCCAAGAAAAATGACAAGCCTCAGAAAAGTTTTAAGACTGGGAGTTTCGAGATTACATTTGTTCTTTACGAAAATTACTCTAGTTCATTATGAAGTTTCCACTAGAAAGTCAGGAGGCTATTGGAGAAAAGATGATGAGGATGGTGCCCGCTGGGATGCAGAGTAGTAGATATTGGGAGATAAAAAGCCACTTGAAAAGCATTTAAGAAATAAGAGAAATCAAAACTATTCAAGCAGTGGTCTGCTGATAATGTGATTAAGAAGTTAAAATGAAGAAGAAGCAACATGATGCTGGAAAAGGAGAGACAAGAGAACAAAATTAACACAAAAGCAACAGGGCAGTAACAGACCAACCTAATCAGGCTTCACCACTTTCTGCTGATGACTCAATTCCATTAATTTTGATAGAAGTATTTAATTTTTAAGTGTATTTACAGTGGCAGGCAATTTATCCCATCATTAAGACACTGCATTGAATGTTCATGGGTTAATCAGCACCTGACAATTTATTACTTGTAAAGAAATCTCTGATTTCACATTTACATGAAAATTACTTCATCAGTTTCTCAGCAGAGTAGGAAAAATAACGGGTGTTATCAAAAAGGGATAGCAGACATATGCATAATCAGATGTCTCTATAGACATTCTGATTGAATTGCTCTGAGATGAATTTAACAAAATCAATGAGAGAGAGAGAGAGACATTGAGAGTGCATAGTGTCAAAATTGATATACGTACTGGAAGAAATAGCACGTATGAACCAGAAGAGAACCACAGCAAATCAATTCTGCGTGCTGTTTGCCATCTAAGTCACACATTTGTATGCTATTATCAGAGATGTGTATATAAATTATTTACTAGACAAAGACATTTCCTGATAATTTAGAAGAACAATAGTTTTTCTTTCATGCAAATAGAGAGGCATCCCTCACGCACACTTAGCTTTTCCTCTTTGGCTTCGTTCTCCAGATCTAGGAGGCTGAGTTAAAGCAGATGAAAGAAACAGCATTTTTATAAGTGATCTGCAGATCCTGCTGGTTCTAGCAAGATCTTCTTCTCCAGCAAACATGACAGGAGGAAAGTTGTCTACCCTCAGGGCTCCAACTTTCTCTTAACAACCCTGAAATGTGAATCTTTGCAGAAACTGCCTGCTAACTGAATCAGAAGAATTGACCCAAACTCTGAGAAATCCACCTTAGGCTTTCAGCATGACCAGAAGTAACAATGAGCCCCTTCCTTGTCGTATTTGCAGCACTGATGGGTGAAAACACGCAGCAAGACAAAAGCAGTGCAAAGGCAATTTCAAGGGCACTTACATAGATCTGATTGTTCCCAAAGCGCTTCTGAATTTCGTAAAGCAGGCTGCTGTCGGTAAGCTGGCTGAGCGTTGCCAGGTCATCGTTTGGAGCGGGAGGTATCAGCTTGACCTGGGGGAAAAATAGGTAAGATCAATCCTAATTGCTTTCCAATCAACTGTCTTCACAGTTGTTTGTTCCATTTTCAATTACATGTCAAAAGTTTACAGACCACATGAATTCGAAATTGTTATTAAAAGATGAAATGGTTCACTTGTAAGGAACAAAAAATTCAACGGTCACAGAAATGTATTCAGGTGAGAATCTCTGTTCTATACCCACCAGCCAGGGCACACACTCATACACGCACCTACACACACAACCTGCATGTGACCCCACGTCCCTCCAATCATGAAGTCTGATTAAGACAGCTCTGAACTGTGCTGAGTCCTTTTTAAGACCAGCTGTTGAAAGCTCACGTTTTTCAGTGTTTCCAAGGCTAAAGGAAAACTCCTATCACGAAACTGGAATGGGAGGAAAGCAGAGTGCCTGGACTTCAGTTTCTGAATACATGGAGGGAGGCACTGGAACTTAAAAGTAGCCTCTCTAGAATTCTGGCTTGTGTATCTTCTTCTGTTCTACATTACTCCTAAGTTTCAGGTCGTGTGAGATTAAGATGATTCTGTCAGAAAGAAAAACACTGCTTTCCTACTCAATTTTATATTGAGTGACAGAGTTGAAAAACTGGACAATATTTCAAAAAAAAAAAAGGTAAATCTGAAATATTTAAATTAGATAAAAATCTATTATTTACAAGTCAGAAATGGGCAATGTTTAGTTTTATTTATATAGACAAAGGTCTCTCGCAAGTTGGCATACGTATTGAACTCCCAAAGCAATCATAAAAAGGAGAAAAACCAAGAGCAGGAATTTTTTTTTCCTTCAGAAGGAATGATTTACGCTAAGATAATAAAATTCCTCGTATATCCACAGCTCTCAGGAGCTCAAGGCAAATTTCTGCATGCACGTTAAAAAAAAAAAAAGCAGGAACTAGCACTAACAGAAGTTTCATGTTTGTTCCAACAAGGCTGAAAGAACTATTGCGGCATATCTTTGGAATTCTTGAGGGTTTTCATCTCCAGTCACAGCTGCTACACGGGTTAGAGAAAGTACTACTAGGCTGACAGTAAAAATGTGAAGACTTCCCAGCCTGCTTGTAGTAACCAAACGTGAAAATACAGCGTTAGGGTAGATCAAGGGAAGAATTCCTTGTAGTTAGCATAACAGATTCCAAAATGATCAGGAATGAAGCTTTGATAATCAGTCTGAAGCAAGGGGCACATTCTTTCTAAAGATTCCTAAAGCGCTGTGACAGCTGATAATATGTCTGTGAATATTTTTATGTCATAGTTGTAGACTCAGTCGTGTATGCTACCAGTGTCTCCCAAACAATTATGACAACAGTCAAAACAGAGACGGGATAAATATGTAAAAAACAAAAACAAAAACAAAACTTAACATCTTCGCTAGGATTGATCATTATGGTTCTTATGAAGATATACAAATATCCATATATATACATACATTTCTCTCTATATATGTATACATTTCCAAAAATAGAAATCTGAAACACAAAACAGACATAATTCAGAATAGAAAGTCAGGAAGAAATTAGAGAAACACTTTGAGAAATGTTTCAAGACCCAAAAGGAATTTACACCTTGGAAATACTCTGAATTCACTGATTCCTCGTCTCCACTTGCCAACACTGCTTTCAGTGCTGTCAAATTTCCTGTTTTGTTCTGTTGTGTTTGGTTGTGTTTTCTCTCTCTAGGACATAAGTAGTATATGTCCAGGAACCAGAAATTCAGTGGGCAGACAGAAGGTCTGACAATTGGGATAAGAGCAAGAAGATTCTGGGGAAAGGCTGTTTGCAGGAAAGAAAGAAGTAGGCATGAAAGAAGAGGAAAGAAGAAATTAGAAAAGAACGAGCTGACCGGGATGGTCCTACAGGGAAAGGGGTGATGATCTGACAAAATATTAAGCTTCCAGGGCTTCCCTGGTGGCACAGTGGTTGAGAGTCCGCCTGCCGATGCAGGGGACAGAGCTTTGTGCCCCAGTCCGGGAGGATCCCACATGCCGCGGAGCGGCTGGGCCCGTGAGCCATGGCCGCTGCGCCTGCGCGTCCGGAGCCTGTGCTCCGCAACGGGAGAGGCCACAACAGTGAGAGGCCCGCGTACCGCAAAAAATATATATATATATTAAGCTTCCCAAAGCTGAAGCCCATCACCGTGCCTGCACAGCACCTTGTTCTTACCTGCTTTGCATTCTGTGAGATGTTTCTTAGAGAGTGCAATATATCAGGTCCTTTGTTTGCTGAGAATTTACACTTTTGTGTACCTGGATGCTGGTATGTCCAAGGACTACAGAAAGAGAACCATCACCTATCTTCAAAATCCCTATATGCACATGCAGCCATGGAACACACACGTTCTCTCCTGTGCACAGAACTGTCACAGGGCAGCAGGGCTCTGGGAAATGAACCCGGAGCTTGCTGTCGTGTCTCCAAAGAGCACTGGATACGGCAGAAAAGAAACACTTGTGACTCTAGGCAATTTGTTTAACTTTCTTGAGTTTGAGTTTGGTCGGTTTAAATACTCAATTTGAAACTTGAGAGTCAGTTAACTAGCAAAAGTGAATTATAACTTGCCCACGTAGAATTTTGGGGATTAATGGGCAGAAGACCTAAATAGACATTTTCCCAAAAAAGACGTACAGATGGCCAAGAAGCACATGAAAAGCTGCTCAACATCACTAATCATTAGAGAAATGCAAATCAAAACTACAATGAGGTATCACCTCACTCCAGTTAGAATGGGCATCATCAGAAAATCTACAAACAACAAATGTTGGAGAGGGTGTGGAGAAAAGGGAACCCTCTTGCACTGTTGATGGGAATGTAAATTGATACAGCCACTATGGAAAACAGTATGGAGGTTCCTTAAAAAACTAAAAATAGAATTACCATAAGACCCAGCAATCCCACTACTGGGCATATACCCAGAGAAAACCATAATTCAAAAAGACACATGCACCCCAGTGTTCACTGCAGCACTATTTACAATAGCCAGGTCACGTAAGCAACCTCAATGCCCATCGACAGACGAATGGATAAAGAAGATGTGGTACATATATAAATGGAATATTACTCAGCCATAAAAAGGAACGAAATTGGGTCATTTGTAGAGACATGGATGGATCTAGAGACTGTCATACAGAGTGAAGTAAGTCAGAAAGAGAAAAACAAATATCGTATATTAATGCCTATATGTGGAACCTAGAAAAGTGGTACAGATGAACCGGTTTGCAGGGCAGAAATAGAGACACAGATGTAGAGAACAAACATGGACACCAAGCGGGGAAAGCATTGGGGGGCAGGTAGTGGTGGATGAATTGGGAGATTGGGTTTGACATGTATACACTAATATGTATAAAACAGATAACTAATAAGAACCTGCTGTATAAAAAATAAATAAAATTCAATAAAAGATATTATAGGTGAAAGCATTTGTAAGCTCTGAAAGGATTATTTTATATTATTTTTTTAAAAATAATCTATACTTACATTGAAAAAAAGAAAGCCCAGTGTCGACTGGAATTACATGAATTAAGAGCAGATAAATGAGTGGATAGAGGATTCAACCACTGTGGCAAAACCTTACAGTCAGTCAATATAAATAACAGTAATAAAAACAATAAATATGTCTTGCTGAGTTTTTGTTCGTTCTTGGTAACTGTGCCGTCACCTTATAGCCTTAGTCTTTTGTCATCTTCAAAACAACCAAATAAGGTGAGTACTATGTTCCCATTTTACAGGTGGGGCTTAGTGAGATTAAGGGGCTTCTAGAGTCACAGAGCTCCAGAAGCAGACCTGAGCCAGAGCAAATCTGCCTGACTCCATCCTCCTGTCTCTTTACTCCCAGGAAAACATGGCTTCGCTAAATGGAGTAAAACTTTGACCTGAATTTTAAGCTGGAACCAAATTTAAATAAATATACTGTGAAAGGAAAGAAGAGAGGGAGGAAGGGAAAGAAGAAGTTAAGCAGTTAGGAAATTAGGAAGAGAATGGAAGAGGACAGGGGAGAGGAGGAATGGGCCAAAGACAGAACAAAAGGTGAAGAGAAGGAAGAATGTCGCACGTTTCTAAGCATCTTAAGAAAAATTCTCCATTCTCAGAGATATTATAAAGCGAATGTGAATTTTGGTGACTATCAGAACCAAAAAAAGTTTAAATCAAGTCCTGAATATTCATGTATGGAGTTACCATTTGATAAGGCCTACATTTTCTAAAAATCTGAAAGGAGAGATGCTGTGGGTTTTGTTTCAACTTGAATTCTACACAATGAGTTTCTCTTTAAAATGGGAACGGGAACTTTATTGCTTTGACAAGGCTTTTCTAAAGCCCTCCTGTGAAGTGTGAGTGAGGACAGCCCTGCGGAGAATCCAAGCACCTCATGACCAAGAATGAATGACAGCATGACGCACACAGTGGGAGATGTGAGTGAAAATTACACAGATAATATATGCTCATGAAACCTGAATACTAGCCTCTCCTTGTTTAAAACCAGATCAATAGAACATGATTACAGCTGCTTTTAATGTCTAGGATACAATTATAAAGAGCTTACATTAAAAACTGAAAAGTCATTCAGCAAGGATTACACTTGATCTTATGCTGTGAATGTCCTCTCATTTTTTAAAAGATATTATTTTTTAGAGTTATTTTAGATTCACAGCAAAATTGAGAGGAAGGTACAGAAATTTCCCATATACCCCTGGCCCCACTCATGCATAGCCTTCCCGGTTATCAACATCCCTCGCCAGGGTGGTACCTCTGTTACCACTGACGAGCCTACACTGACACATCATCATCCAAACCCCATAGTTTACATCAGGGTCACTCTTGGTGTTGTACGTTCTATGGATTTGGACAGATGTATAATATCACATATCTACCCCTACGGTGTCGTACAGAGTAGTTTCACTGCCCTAACAACTCCCTGTGCTCCACCTATTTATTCCCCTGCCCCGACCCCTAGTAACCTCTAATATTTTTACTATCTCCATGGTTTTGCCTTTTCCAGAATGTCAAATAATAGAATCATATAGTAGGTAGCCTTTTCAGATTGGACTCTTTCACTTAATAATATGTACTTAAGTTTACAGAAAGTTCATAGGACCTTTAAAAAAGTTAAGAAAAAGCTTTGCCTTAAATTTCACCTAACACTCAATTGCCTACCACTATGGACTGAATCGTGTCCCCCCAAATTCATATGTTGAGGCTCTAACCAGCTTGTGACACTGTTTGGAGATTGGGGCCTTCAGGAAGTTATAAAGGTTGAATGAGGTTATAAGGATGGGGCCCTGATCCTATAGGATTAGTGTCCTTATAAAAGACACCAGATAGGTTGTTTTCTCTCTCTGTCTACCATGTGAAGAGAAAGAAGCCATCTGCAAGCCAGGAAGAAGACATTCACCAGAAACTGAATCAGCCAGAGCCTTGATCTTAGACTTCCAGTCTCCAGAACTGTGAGAAAATAATCTCTGTTGCTCAAGCCACCCAGTTTGTGGTATTTTGTTACGGCAGTCTGAGCTGATGAGTATACCTACTAAAATTTAAAAGTATTTCAAAATTACAAAAATAATTTGTTATTTGAAAATAACAAAAAATAATGAAATTTAAATTTTGAAAAGAGAATCTTTAGAAAACCTCAATAAATTGTCCTTAAAACATTCAAAATTAGACACAGTGAAACAAAACATTTTCAGGGATTACTGTGACATTCAGAAAATTACTCTGCCATTTATAAAACATGAAACATATAAAACTCATTTATTTCTGTGGGAATGATAGCAAAAAATACATTAATTTCTAAAGCTCCTCGAAGTGATCTCTGATCATCTGGACACTGGGGCACACAGGCACACACACACAAAACACCACCACAGTTGCTTTTAAGGATAAGTGACTCAGTGACTGGTTTGTCCTTCTTGTTAAGTAAAATGTCTGATATTTGTAAGAAACAGAAAACTATCCACATAATAATCAAAATGATGACTAATGACATAAGCGGAAATATTCGGGAATTAACGTATTGGCTGAACTTCCATTCCTGGTAAATCAAGACTATAAAATCCAAATCCTTGTAAAAACACATAGCAGTTAAGTTTGTTAATGGTCAGTATAATACTGTAACAATTTATACGTGGCAATTTCAAACCAAATATTAACATTTGCACTCATTAATTTTTATTTGAATTGAAATTAGTAGGTGTTTGTTTTTGAAAAGTTGGACTTTAAGGCATGATGTAATAGGATGCAACACTAGCAGACCTGCAATAAGGGTGTAGTTACCTGATCAGGTTTGGTGGGGCCATTCACGGTGGTATTTTCGGGAGTACTGTCCTGAGATTGTCCCTTGCACAGACCTTTTGTTGCATCTTTGAACATAATGTCTTTTTCCAGCATACTGTCTTGCTTGGCAATTGGCAATGCCAGGGGGCTGCTGGAGGAAAAAATCAATGCTATGATTAGTCTTCTAACATTGCCATATCAATCAAAAATTACCATGACTGGACAGCTGATTACAGAAAGTTGTTTAATTCAGGTAAGAAACAGTGTCAACACTGCAGGTAGAATCAATGAGAAATCTGTAAACTTTTCTATTAGCTCCAGATCTCGTTCAATTTCACCTTTAAAAGAAAAGATATATTCATTTCAACCTGAGAAGAAAATGTTTATGAATGGATATATGACTTAACAGACAAATCAATGAGCAATTGAAAAGCTAAGGTGGAAATGCATGATTGAACTAAGCAAAATATTTAAATGTGAATGAATGCAAACAGGTGAAGGCAAAGTTCTACAATTAAGTAAAATACTGTTCATACAGGATTTTAATATGTTATAGAATCATGGACAATAGTTAAGAGTTTGTGAAGAAATGATAATAGGGGAATTAAAAACAAACGACGTGCTTAAGGACTGCAATGTTACAAACAATAAGTTTTATTACTCCTTTACAGCTCAGGCTAGGCAAAAAAATAAAATAAAACCTACTTCATTTTTTGTTCTTCCATAGACACTGTTGCCAAAAGAAAGGCAAGTTCATAAAAAATAAACACAATCCGAATGTTTAATTTGTATTGTAACACTTTAGTACAGTCAAATTTAAAAATGTACTTTCCTAAATATGACCATAAAGCAGAAATACATACATATTTAATCAAGTGCAATATATAGAAACATAATTATTTCATGTATCTTACAGTAGTAGTTGTGATTCTAATTAAAGCTTAATGCATTTTGTTGTTTTTTTAAAATTTCAGTTTTACGGAGGTATTTACAAATAGTAAAATTCACTCTGCAGATGTACAGTTGCATGAGTTTTGTCTACATACACATAATTATATATAGTTGGTTATATATATGTATATACATTTGTGTAACCCACATAATCGGCAACACATAGAATTTTTGTCACTCCCGAATGGCTCTTTGTGTGTGCCCTTTGAAGTCAATTATTTCCCCTAACCCCCTGCCCCTTGTAATCATGGCTAATTATTTCTTTCACTATAATTTTGTTTTTTCTAAAATGTCATGTGAAGGAAATCACAGAGCATGTAGCCTTGTGTTCCTGGCTTCCTTTACTTAACATGTTTTTAAGATTCATTCATGTTTCTGCATGTATCAAGTTTGTCATTGTTTATCACTGGGTAGTGTCTTCCTGTGGGATCCACTGCACTTTGGCTGTCCATTCACCAAACATTTGGGTTTGTCCAGTTTTTGTCAATTGTAAATGCAGTTTCTATACACATTCACGCACAGGTGTTTGTGGTGACGTGGGACACATGCTTTCATTTATCTTGGCTGCGTACCTAGGAGAGACTCCAAACTTTCCTCGGGGTCTGAACCATTCATTGGTGCTTCCCCCAGGCGTGGGCTGGAGTCCTACTTGCTTCACATCCTTGACAGAACTTGTCTTTTTTGTTGTTTTTGAAATCCATTCCAGTGGGTGTGTTAGTGGCTTCTATTTGCATTTCAGTGTGGTTATTGACACAAGAATCCCTTCTTTGGTAAAGTGTAAGTTCAAATCTCCTTTTTTTTTTTTTTTTACTGGATTCTTTGGTGTCGTATTATTGAGTTTATATATTTTGGATTCGAGTCCTTTATCACATACACAGGTGGCAAATATTTTCTCCCAGTATGTATCTTGTCTTTTTATTTTTTTAACAGTAAGTTTCATGGAATATTTTTTCTCTTATGGTGTGTGCCTCTTGTATCTTATCTAAAAATTCTTTCCCAAACCCAAGGTCAGTAGGGTTTTCTCCTAGGTTTTATTCCAGAAGTGTTATAGTTTTATGCTTCACACTTAGGTCTACAATTCATTATGAGTGGCTTTTTTTATACGGCGCTGTATATGGGTCGAGTTTCATTATTTCTTCGTATTGCTGTCTAAATGTTCCAGCATCAGTTCTGAAAAGAACATCTGTCCCCATCCAATTACCTGGACACCTTTATTGAAAATCAACTGACCATATATGTGCAGGCCTACTTTAGGACACTCCATTGTATTCCACTGATGTAACAGCCTATTCTTACACCAACATTACATTTTCTTGAGTAATGTACTTTCAGAGTAAGAGTTGAAATCAGTCAATGTGAGTCATCCAACTTTGTTTTCTTTTTCAAAATTATTGAGGCCATTTGAGGTTTAGCATTTTCACATACATTTTAGAATCTATTTGTCAGTTTTTATAAAAATTTCTGGAATTTTGATTAGCCTTGTGTTCAAAATATAAGTTAATTTGGGGAGAATTTACCTAATAACAATGTCAAATTTTGTCATCCATAAACACAGTATATTTCTCCATTTATTTTGATCTTCATTAACTTTCTCATCAGTTATTTTGTAGTTTTCAGCATTAAAATCTTGCAAATAATTTGTTAGATGTATTCTGATATATTGCATGTTTTATGCCACTACCAATGTCTTTTTATTTCAATCTCTGGTTGTTAGTCTATAGGAATACAAATGATTGTTTTACATTAACCCTGATGGGGAAGAAGGGAATAATTTGAAGGACTTCCTTCAGTAACCACAAGCCTCATTCACTGCTCTGCAGCCCATCTCTGTGCCACCTGCCAGCCATGCTGGAGTCTAGGAAAATGGGAATAAAGACAGACTAACGAACGGGCTGAATTAGGTCCAGGTCTGAGGCAAAATTGGCAATAGCTGAAGAACACGTTTACAGAAACGTGAGGTCAGTTTACTTCCTCTGAACTCTGGATGACGATGTTTTGTAGTCAATGACGGTATTTTCAGTAGGCAACAGGGCAGGGGATTATATATTAAAAAGAGGCGGCATGGTATAGTAGAGCTGCAACAAACATACATTTTTGAGTCAGAAAAGCTACGAAGTTTGATGCCTGGCTCGGCCACCTCGGGCTGGTTACATAACCATTCTGTAAAAGCAACTGAAAAACAGGCCCGGAGTGACGGGTTACCAACATAATGCGCATCAAGGGGTTAGCTCAACGACCCTGGTAATAAGCAGGCAACAGTATTAGCTTAAGTTTCTGGGGATCTACTTACAAGCTAACAGGTTAGCCTATTACTCTTGTATGGACAGACGCAGAAGACGAGAGGTGCTGGGATAACAGACAGAGGACTTACTGCTCACGGCAGACAGAATCCACGCTGCCTGTGTGCACCAGTTCTCCTTGCCCCCTGTGCCATGGGGGGCGGGAGTGGGCAACACAGATGGAGCTAAGTGGACGGCTACACTTCGCGCATCGTGTCGCGTTGTAGGAGGGAAAACTGGGCAAGAAGCAAGAACTCTTTGAGCAAGCAGCACACTGTGCCCAGTAGAAGAGAAGCCAGGGCCCCGGCTCTGCGGTCTCCTCCAGTCATCCAGCAGCTGGTATGACTAACTGCATGTGCCCTGCACAGTGACCAACTGGGCAAGAAGGTGGAGGTGGCTTACGGCCCACGGTGGGCGTCCCTCCCAATGCTATATTATTCATTTTAAAAATTCACTATAGGGCTTCCCTGGTGGCGCAGTAGTTGAGAGCCCGCCTGCCGATGCAGGAGACACGGGTTTGTGCCCCGGTCCGGGAAGATCCCACATGCCGCGGAGCAGCTGGGCCCGTAAGCCGTGGCCGCTGAGCCTGCGCGTCCGGAGCCTGTGCTCTGCAGCGGGAGAGTCCACAGCAGTGAGAGGCCCGCATACCGCAAAAAAATAAAAAATAAAAAATAAATAAAAATACACTATATAAAGGGAATGCTCACATCCAGATCTGCTTGAATACCATCAAGTAATAAGGTCTTTACAACCTTCAAAGAGGCTGTATTTCTTCCTGAGCAACGCTGGAACAAGACCCCTCTACTCATCACACCTGGAGCTCCAGCAACACGCCTTGTGCCTCTTCGACTTGAGAGCCCTTCCACTATTTGAAGACAGTTGCGGTTCTCTGATATTTACTATAATTTGAGGGAAGCACTTGCAAATCACTTTAATAATTATATGGCACTGAATGTATGACCATCTCTGTTTAAGTACTACACACACATTAACTCTTTAACAACAATACCATAGGTATACATTATATTTATGCCCATTCTGTAGATGAGTAAACTGAGGACCAGAGAGGAGAACATGCTCTGGACACACAGTGAGCAGCAGCGAAGCTGGGACTTGAGCTTCAGAGTCTGTGTTCTCAACCACCGCGTCACACTGCCTACATCTAAAAGTTCACCCTCACACCTACCGAAATATTTCCTTCCTTATCTCCCCTTAGACCAACCGTCTCCCTTTCCTGCATTGCCAAGAAATTAAAAAGCAAACAACAACAATAACAAAAAAACTAAAGAGAGGTTTTGCAAATACTGAATCTTCTGAGTGTACAGCAATTAATAAAGCAGTAGTTAGATTAGTCAAGGTAAAAACTAGAAAGATAGTTTATAAAATAAGTAAAATCAACTATAAAGAATTTCTAAAAGGAAGAACTGGTGAGTCTACTAAAACAGCTGAAATACTCCTTTTGTATCCCAAATCTAATCTCAGTGTTAACAGCAGGCTCCTTGAAAGATACACTTGAAAAGAAGACTGGTCCAGGAATACAGTGACCTCATTCTAAGTCAGTTTTTTGTTTGTTTGTTTGTTTGTTTTTTTCTGCGGTACGCGGGCCTCTCACCGGCCTCTCCCATTGCGGAGCACAGGCTGCGGACGCACAGGTTCAGCGGCCATGGCTCATGGGCCCAGCCGCTCCGCGGCACGTGGGATCTTCCCGGACCGGGGCACGAACCCGTGTCCCCTGAATGGGCAGGCGGACTGTCAACCACTGCGCCACCAGGGAAACCCCTAAGTCAGTTTTTACCTCAATTTAGCTACTACCTGACCTTCTAAGAACTTCAAAATCTCCCCACAGTTCCACCTTTGCTAACTGTGGGAACTAGAATATCTAAATGTGTTTCAGGTCCTACAGTTCTATGATGCTAACACA